ACTGATTGGACCTGACCAGTGCGGCCTTAGTCCTAGTAACTAAACTATCGGACCAGACTTGGAAAAGACCCGTGAAACGAGGATCGACACCCACCACCTTTCCGTGGATTTTAAAGCCGCCTTCCACAGCACACAAAACTTATACTTATCGTGCGACTTTTTTAATTTGATGCTAGAGAAAATAATACGAGCTCCAGAACTGAATAGAGAATGTATAATCTTCTGTAAGAGTGCGCAGCTGCTGACGTTACTGATGCTGATGATACTGACGTTATTGGCCCTAACAACCGCGTGGTGAGTTCTGCTTTTTCCAGACTGGATAAGAAAGGCAAGCAAATGGGTGTGGTAGTGAAGAAGGGCAAAAAGAAATATCTTCAATATCTCCTGTCATCACGCAAACAGTCATGACAATCGCCGCTCGGCTCCCACCTCACTGATGACAGTATTAACACCAAAAACAATGCCAGCGTGGGAATCCAGCGCAGAATCACTTTTGCCAACAGGTGCCACTTAGAACTGAGTAGGCAATTGAAAACTTAAGTCCTGTTCCGACGAACGAAAACCAAACTCTACAAGTCCCTCATCGTTCCCGTCCAATTATATGGTACGTAGGCATGGAAGATGACAACATCTGATTAGTCAGCGTTAGAAGTTTTTAAGAGAAAGGTTTTGCGTAAGAAGTATGGTCCTCTATGAGTTCGGAACAGCGAATACCACAGCCAATGGACGATGAGTTTTAGTGCAGCGAATGAACAGACAGCGGTCACAGTCATGTGGTCCGGATGGATAAGAATACTCCAGTTTTGAATGTTTCGATGCAATATCGGCCGGTGGTAGCGAGCAAAAAATGGGTAGAAGATAAAACAAAAAACAATCAACGTAGTTTGTGCAGGATATGACAGCCGCCTGCTATTGCGTCCATATACCAAAGAAAAAATTACACAAAAAAAAAACAATAAAACAGCGGGTCTCAAAGAAGAAGAAGAGGGTCTCAAGCTCGAACCACAAGCACGGGTCGTCACCTCAGCATACTGTCGTTAACCACCAAAGGGATATTTCTACATGATTCAGAGGAGATTTGGTCTAAAGCCGAAAGCAATGAGCGGTCGTTTCTGGTAACTGCCAGGTGAATAGCTACCATAACTTTCCTCACTTGTTTGAAATTCTTTACTTTGCATTCCTCATTTTAGTATTTTTATAATTTTTTTTTAAGAATTTAATAATTCCTGAATTAAATAAGCCAAATTAGTTTTTCAGATGAGCACTATTTACAATTTGTACAAAATAGTTTAATCAGTCGAACGTTTCAGTAACAACAAAGCAAATACCGCTGCTTTTTGCTCTTTTGAGAGAAAAAATACAAAAACAAAAAATGTTGGTTGGTAAAAATTATTCAACAATAAATAAAATGATAAAAAACATAGCTTTGAGCAATTTTACCGAAATAAAAAATAACTAGCAAAATTATCCCCACTCAAAGCTATGAATTACAACAGACGAGTGAAATAATCTGACCACACATAAATTTTGCAAGATTGTATTCACACTTTTTTTAGCCAATGCCCGTAAAGTGGAATATTTTTTATGTACCCTTATTTTATTTTATATTTATTTTTTTTTTTTTTTTTTTTTTTTTTTGTAATTTTTCCTGCAACTGCAGGCGGCTGTCATATCCTGCACATACTACGTTGATTGTTTTTTTGTTTTATCTTCTACCCATTTGTTGCTCGCAGGCATCAGTTGTGTAGGTGTTATTTTGCACTGCGCAGGCGGTACCAGTGCGGCGGCTATGGCGGCTATGGCGGCAGCGGCGGCGTGGCCACTGGCAATATAACAAATGTGCCAACATCTTTTTGATTTATTACACCGCCTCGTTTATAATATTTACATAAATGAATCGCTGAAACAATGTGGCAATGATGCTAGCACGTTGCTGGCGAGTGCTAAAAAATTGCCCAAAATATGAAGGTACATTGGGAAAGAAAAAAGAAGATTAACACATTGTTGAAATGCAGGAAAAAGGACAAAATGCGATTATGATTGTCAAGAGACACATTTTAATAATGATAATAATTACAAAATAAGAGTGCCGTATTTTCAAAATTTAGCAATCATATTTGATACCAAAATTAAATTTTGCAGCAATGATGACCGTAGTTCTACGGTTACTTTGTAATCCTAATATAATGTTAATATTGTTCCATTTTATCAAAATCACTTTCAATTCATACGTTTAGATGTCGACTTTTATGACGAACTTTTGCATTCGTTTTTCATTTCTTCTTTCCTTATTTGGAGGCAATTGGTATTTCCAACGAAATGGAGGCCTTCCCCTTCCTCTGCTTCCCCGAGGAAAGCTTTGAAAGCTGGAATATTCTTGTCAATTCGGACCACATGACCTAGCCAGCATAGCCGCTGTCTCCTGATTCGCTGAATTATGTTATTGTCGCCATGCCTCCGCTTCATGGAGAAGGACGGGAATGATAAGCTACTTGTAGAGTTTGATTTTCGTTTGTCGATAGAAGAGTTTACTTCAATTGACTACACAGCCTAATAAGGCAGCTGTTGGTAAGAGTGATTCTGGGTATTTTCAAACTGACATTGTTGTTTGTGTTAATACTGTTCCGTAGATAGATGAAATTATCTACGACTTGGGAGCCGAGTCAAGAATGCAATGACTGTTTTTTTTTTTTTTTTTTTTTTTTTTGTTTGATGACAGGAGATATTTCATTTTGGCCTCGTTGACTTCCAGACCCACACGCTTTGCGCTCTTATCCAGTCTGCAAAAAGCGGAACTGGCGGCTCGGTCGTTGAGGCCAACAACGTTCTCTATTCAAATCTGGAGCTTGTGTTAATTTCTCCAATTATAAATTAAGAAGTCACAGTATAATAAATCATGTTGTTTCAAACCTCGTCTGGTATCGAACAGCACGGAGAGGTCATTCCTGATCTTGATGGAGCTTTTGGTGTTACTTTATGAAATTTTACATGCAATTTCAGACATAGCGACGTGGAAGCAACAGTTTTGCGCTGGGGAAAGCTGTTTTAAACTCCACTTTGGGAACGCTAGTTTTAAGGATTAGGCAGAGTACACTTCGGTTCTAATCCAATTAAATAATGTAATTATAAATATGAGTTTAATCAAATTTCTTTTTATTTAATTTTTAAACCAAATTAATATTATTTCAATTGACAAAATTTCAAAATAATTCCATTTTATTTTTTATCCTTATTATAAAATTTTTTTTTGTTATTTTTTTTTTGTCATTTTGTTTTGTTTTGTTTTATTTTTTTTTGCAACGATAAATTTCTATTGAGCATTTTGTCATAATGTTTGTACGTAAAAATAGATGAACAACCGCAGAAAGTGGCGCCAAATAACATTAGCAATTAGACGCTTTTATTGTGTGAAGAGCGCCGTAGCGCCAGCTCAAAAATAACAACAATTACCAATTCACCCCCTTGACACGCCTCTTATCCAATAAATAGACATAATAAACAAATTTAATGGGGCACAGTGTACTTAATATAATCGTAAAGAAAGCACTTTTATGTCACCTGGGCGAATAAAGTAATTGCATTGCAAGCAGCATGGCCTGTTGTAGCAATTAAAATCGAAAGCACAACGATAAAAATTCTGCGATATCTATAGAAATGGAAATGAAAATCGAAATTAATAAAGTTAAGTGTCAGGAACAATAAAAATAAAATTACTCAAATTACTCACGACAAAACTTTTATAGTTGCAAAGCACATGGCCATCGATGGTATTCGGATGCCTCGCTTTATACTATTTTTTGATGTTAAATGCATTTTAATTTGTTCGTAGCACTAATATGCTTTAATGAGCGGCGAAGCACTTCATTTTATTTATTTTTCAGTATTTCAATCATGGGGTTTTAAAAAAGGGCATACTCAATTTTAAATTCTCAAATAAACGATAATGATAGACAATTAATGAAGGGAAATTCTTCGCGTTGCTCACACTGAAATTAATAATAACTTGTATTTTCATTCTTCACACATTTTCAATTGTGTATATATATAGAAAGGAAACACAACAAGAATGCAACGTTTCCCCAGCCTTAAAGACTTTCTCTTTTTTGTGCTCCAGCTGCCGCACACTTTCGAAATTGCTCAATGAAGTTTGCTCAGCTGACCTCGGCATTGCAGTTTCACGCAGCATAAATCACGAAATAAGAGCAATAAATCTTTCGCGTGGTGAATGCGATTTTTTTTTTTTAAACAATCAACTTCATGTCTAAAAGTACTCCAATGAGCAAAATATTACTCACAGGCTTCGATTGGTTGAGTCCTGGATTTATGTCTACTTTCTCTCTCTCTCTCTTCGAAACAATATTTTTAACTTTTACAATTTTCCTACGAGGCATGTGTGTGTAAATCGGATCACCAATAAATGTGCTTATAGACATTTGTCTAGGAATGAAGTGCGCAAAAAATGTATTGCAATACAACTGCATATGTACGGGTATATGCATATTACGAAGCGATCTTATTTATAATATGCAGGTGTTTGGTTGTTTCAGCAAATCTGGTTGGCTCGGTTTGTTCATTCTTAAAATAATCAATTCTTAATCAAAAATGTAATTTCCAGTCCTTGTAGATGAAGAAAAAATAGATTTCCCTATATCTTTTTTTTTTTTAAATGGAATATAAAAAGTTTATAACTTTTTATTTTGTTAGAGGATTAGCAAATTAAACCAATTTTAGTTATAACTTTCTTTCAGCTTTTGTTTGTCTAGCATATTCTCCAACCAACCTGTTGTCCTGCAGCATTATTTGACGGTTTGTGTACAGGAGAAACTGTAGCAAATACAAATAATTGGTGTTTGTCTCAACTAAGGACAAGAATGTGCAATATTATTGGAAACTGCGCAATATTTTTTTTGAAATAATAAAAATGCGGCGAAAGACAAAAAATTGTATTTTTTGTTTCCTTTTCTTCAAGCCAAATTGAAAATTTCGAAACGTAAATGATTTAAAGGGCAACTTAATAATTTTATATTTATTTTAAACTTTCCAATATCAGTAGCATCTTATAGGAAATCAATCATCAAACGTGCGCCTAGCTTCATGGCGTCTTTGCACAATATAAAATATTTCATAATAAGACACATTCTTTCTTTTAGCGAGACAAACCATTATTTTATCCCTTGTTGGTCGTATCAGCCTGATCAGATTGCAACCATTAAGACTCTTCATCAGTTGGCATCTATGACTGACCTCGGACTTACTGGTTAGCAATGCGTACTTCCGTTGGGAAGGCCAGGGTTCAAATCATGGTAAGACCAACATCCAAAAGTTATAGAAAATTTAAATACAAAAAAATAAGCATAAAAAGATCAGTTTTTTCAGAGTCGGCAACAGAAGAAGGCGAGTTGGTGTGGGGGGTTGGGAGAACAGTAAAACAAAAAGACCCCAAAGGGAAGAGAATACTTACCTAAATAGTAAGGGAGATAAGCTTGAGCATTTTGTATTGAACAACAATTAAATATTACTGGCGCGTTATTGTAAGCTCGGTTATGTTTGAGTAAATAATGATTATCAAAACTAAAATAAAAAGGAAATCTAGTTGTTATTGTTGCTTAGACCTTTTTGATGCTACATCATCAAATGTAATATTAATAATATTTATAATTTTATATAAATAATATTTTTTACATTACCCAATCTAATTTTTCCCATTTTTCTAGTACATGCATTTTGCATTTACCTACTGTTCATATATGCGCATGTATGTATCTCTAATGCAATGTTTTCTCAAGTGATGTGCCATCCATCTGCTATGCCATGAGTTACTTTCTATGACATATCGCTCGGTAAATATCGAAAAATATTTGATTTTGATGCGAAAATAAAACAAAAAAACTAATAAAATAAGAGCAAGGAAAGCAAATATCTGTTTCCTGGGAAACAATGGTACATCTAAGGCACAAAAACTGAAAATAGATACATGCATATGTATATATTATATATAATAAAATAAATAAAAAAATTAAATAAATGCAATAACCAAAGCACTCTAAACGTCTCAATTTGACTACTATTATGAAAGCCACAGGTCAAGAGTTCTGGGCTCCAACAGTTTCGGCTGTTATGCGAGATACTAGATGGCGTTAGAAATATGACGTTTCGCACTAAAAAAAACTTTTCTCATAGTTTTGTGATTGGTTGATAGTTTTGTTTTAGCGTGCGTCAAAGATGGGCACTGCGAAGAAAAAATAAGCTTTATCTTAAACTTTTTATTCGATAATCTAACAGCTAAGGATTGCACAAAAAATCGTCAGGATGGATACGAAAAGAAGCTGCTGAATCGTAAAAAACGGAAATTTATCTTCTACGAGCTGTTCCCATATGGCAAAACTCTTAACTCGAAACTGTACTATCAACAATTGAACCATCTGAAGGAAGCAACCGCTCAGAAGTGGCCGCTCAATTCTCACGACAGCCAGTTCTACGCACCGGAGTTAACCCGGATTTTATCCGGCCAAGGGCTGTCACCCTTTCGGCGACCTAACCCCGTTTAGGTCTGCAGGTAACCTTAGTCTAAGTACGTCAACGGAGCAACACCTCGCAGCTGGGTTGTTCCAAATCCTTCTGATCAGGGCTGGTGTAGAAACCAACCCCGGACCGACGGATTACTTCTGCTGCGTGTGTCAAAGAAGACTCCACCACTCATCCACCTCGGTTAGATGCACCCAGTGCAATGGTTGGAGTCATCTTAAGACCTGCTCAGGCCTTAAGACCCACAGGGAATGGACCACGAGTTATGTGGCCCTATGCTGCCAGCGTCCAACCGCCCCCCCAGTCTCCACGGCAGTGCCTTCAGCACACTTACCCACTCTGGATAATCTGCAGACCTCCACGGTCTTACGGAGCTCCCCGCAGCATGATTCCCTCCAACCTCCACCCCCATCCCCACCCACAACCAGGTCCTCATCCTCCTACCGTGCGAAGGATACCCAGCAGCTCCTAGTCCCCCGCACTGTCTGTTCCGTGTGTCAGACCATTTTGCATCGGAACGTGACTTCAGTCAGATGCAATTTTTGCTCTGGCTGGTGTCACTTTCGGACGTGCTCTGGCCTGCGCACCACCCGTGAGTGGAGCGATGCGTACGTTGCCCCATGCTGTAGGAGTCTGCCCCCGCATGTCTCCACAAACCCTCCGCCAATCAACACCAATGTGCGGAACCAACTCTCGCGGGTAGTACAGCAGCAACACACACCATCCACGGATCACTCCCTCACCACCCGAATCACGAACGTTCCCGAGACAGACCCGACTTCTACAATTCAACTGCAACGGACTCTAGGGAAAGATTGACGAGATAGTCGACTATATGAGACGGGAGCACCTGTCAATTGCTGCGCTCCAGGAAACCAAGTTGACCGCCCGATCAGATCTTCTGAACAGGGCCGGATACAACATAATCCGCAAGGATCGCGAGCGAGACCATGGTGGGGGCTTAGCGTTCATCCTGCATAACACCGTGCAGTATCGTCTCATCGATGGCGACATCGACCGCAGGGATACTACCCTAGAATGTCAGGGCATAGCTATCCGGTCAGGCGATGTCGAGCTCGAAATATTTAATATATACATTCCTCCAGTTACAAGTAGTCCAGCTAGATACACCCCTGACATAAGTGCGCTATTCAGGGGTGAAAACCGTTTGGTTTTGGGCGACTTTAATGGCATTCTAGCCTGTCAAATGACCGTAGAGGAATGGAGCTGGCGGAACAAATAGACGATTCGACATTCTGCACAATGAACGATAACACCCCCACCAGAGTTATGGGTAATTGCCAAAGCTCGCCAGACATAACAATTGCGAGTGCTGGTCTGTTAAACAGTATAGTCTGGCGACCTATACTGACGTTAGCATCGGACCACTTGCCCATACATATCTCGATTGACAGGCCTCCCGACTTTGTTTCCGCGGACCTACCGCAGGGAGCACCCCAGCAGGCACTTAATAGAGGCTGAACCTCCACCTAGGCACATCAGGAAGGGAGTACTAGACTTAAAGGACACGATCCAGCAACACACACAACAAACGCTGGACAGGACGGCGTATCGACAAGCACTGAACGCCATTCACCAGGAGTCAGTTAACACCTTCATGAACTCCCTTCCAGTGAATGGCGTACTCGGAGAAATACCACCACCCATAGCAGACAACGAGCTCGAGCTGCCTCGAGAGACCCGCGTGACCCTGACACAACTCAGGTCTGGATATTGTAGCAGGTTAAACTCCTACCTATCCAGACTAGACCCCAGCATACCTAACGTATGCCCGGCATGTGGAGAGTCCCCGCACGACACTAACCACCTCTTCACATGCCCGCTCAAACCTACTCATCTAACCCCCCCTCTCCCTTTGGTCCAACCCCGTCGAAATAGCTCGTTTCCTGGGCCTACCATTAGATGACCTCGGCGACTTAGACTGATTAAGCCTGTGCCTAAGCGGGGTTAGCGAACCGCTACAACAACAACAACAACAACAACGAGTGGCCGCTTTAGCCAATACGAGAGAAATTGTATTTCCTCAGGACAACGCCAGGCCACACACATTGATAGTAAATCCCTAAAAGCTCCGGGAGCTTCGTTGGGAGGTTTTTATGCATCCAAAAGAAGAAAGGCATAATGAAATTAATATCGAACAAAACCGCACATATTTGACCTAAATCGGATCGTTCTAACTATGGTAATTAAAGCCTTCAATTTCATGCAAAAATAATCGATTTTTTATTACCAATACAAGCGTTCTGACCGCATCAACCGCCTCTTTAGGTATCAAAAATCATTGATCTTTCCGTCAATTCAGGACTATACGCCGGATGACTCAGCAGTAAATGTGTGAGAGCGCCTATTGTCTAAGAATGCTCCGCCCCCGAAGGTCTGAAAGGTCCTCTTCGAACGATTTTATATCAAACAAGACTTCGGTAATATGACTCTCTCGATAAGATCTGCCTTTTTTTTCAAATCAAATTTAAAAAACGTAAAAATATAAACTAAACAAATACTATGTATGTACATAAATGCTCTTTGACTTCATCACTCTTTTGAGCTGCGCAGACAAACACCTTAACTTCGAAATGCAAATTAAGTGCACAAGTCACGAGTAAATGAAGTGCAAGATATGACGACTTAATGTGCGACTGAGAAGTATGTGTGTATGTGTGTATGTGTGTGTATGTGCGTATTCGTAACCAAGAAGATTCACCACCATAAAAGCCATATGCAATGTGCCATGGTGTTGCACGTTTAAAATAAAAGAAAATCTGAAGATTTCAATTTTTATAAAATCCAAAGTGCTTCTTTTATGGCTTTGGCTGTCAGCTGTTTGTCGCTTGTTGCTTGCCACATTTGCATATGCGCTATGACGACAACGCACTGGCATATGTACTTACATATGTGCTTGTTGCACATTGGTGCATATTAAAATGCATATTGTATGCTTGAGTTACTTGACAGTCATATTAAGCTGACAGAAAGTACTACTGCTGCTACTACTTTTTTAGCGCTGCAGATTTCGTCGCCTCTCAAAATAGCACTCAACAGAGTCAGGAGCTGTGAGTACGCAAGTCGCATGTGAAATTCGCAGTCGCAGTACAGTGAACCAGAAATGGGAAAACTTGCCATGAGCATTTTTATATACATTAATTGAAAATATTTGAAAAAAATCCAAAAATGATGCTGAAGAATGTGATTTCCACTCAAAATCGCATCAAAAACGCAAATTTTTATGATCAATAAATCTTAGCGCCATCTAGCGAGTATATAGTATATACAGTGGTACTTCTTAATGACTCTTGTGAATCTTAGCAAGATCGCTTCGGAAAAACTATTGTTGGTAAAAATTTGTCTCTGGCTCAGCTTTTTAATCGTAAACTGAACTTTGATTGCATTCTTATATTTCTGCCCCACTATGCCTAGATTTGCGTTGTGCCCTCAATCCACTGGTATCTTTGCTTCACCCTCCATTGTTATGCTGCTCGTCGTTGCGCTAATGGTTTGAGCATTGAATCATTTGTGATTATATTCCAAGATGCAAATGGAACGGTGTTAAACACAAATGTGCAGAAATACCAACACACGCGCACACACTCACACACATTCCACTACAACCATAACATTCTTTTTTTATTTACGCATATGTTTATAATTCGCGTGCAAAGGAACTTTGTGGTAAGCCCAGGTGGTGGTGTGAATCATGTTATATGGAAATATGAAAATCAACTGTGCGTAGAAGCGGATACAATGGGTAAAGTGACTAAAGTGACTAAAATGACTATGCTATGATTTATGCTAATAATAGTAAAAGCACTCAGGACTCTTCTTGCAGATCATTTTTTTTTTTTCTTTTTTTGTAATGTTGAGAGAATGTCAAGAAATGTGCGCAGATTTTACTAGTTCTCTTTTTTTATCACTCTCCATATGAAATTGTGATATTATTTTACATTATTCGCCATTATTCGCAAAGAATAGCTGGAAAATATAAGAACTTTACTAAATATTGTTGACAATAGCAATTTGCAAGCAAAGTGCCCCATGCTCCT